TTGAATGTGTAAATATGTTGATCTGGAGAGCGTGTATATGTCTCTAACGTCATCTAAACTATTTCCGCCTTTATCTCGAAAGTTCTATTCTCATTCACAGGTCAGAGTTATCTTCCTTTGCCCACCTTATATATACTACGTAAATAGAGAAAATTTCGGTACCGAAAATATACAAAATGCGGAATCTGATTTAAAAACAAATTATATATTTAGTATTTGTAGAAAAATGTCTGTTTTGCATAAGAATATCTTGAAAAAATATCTAAAAACAAAAAAATCAAATATTGACCAAAAACAAAGTCACTTCCGGTTCGGACTGGAAGTACTGGAAACACACGAAAACAACTTCACATCAAATAGAATATCATGATCTAGTACTCCTGTAAATTTCATATCTTTACCTCAAACCGTTTTCGAGAAAAATGCCGGACAAAACTCCATTTTAAAATTCGAAAATCGGCCATAACTTCGGACCGGAAGTGAATTTTTCAAAAAACGGAATTTTATACTTCATATATCAACCTACTTACGTGAGAAAAATTGTGAAAATCTATCCAGTCATCTCTGAGTAATCGCGCTCACAAAATTTGGGAGGAATAACAATAATAATAATAACTAGAATATTGTTGCCATGGCAACAAATAAGTCTTCCGTTCTTCTAAATCTGTTAGAATTTGCTTTTTTTTCTCTGCAAAAAACATAGAAATCATATCTAATCTAAAAGAAAAAAATGCAAAAAGGTCTTTCAGTACTTAAGGTACTTTGATTTTCATGATCAATCATTTTGGCACTCATTAGAGCTACATATGTATCATAGACAAACCAACAGACGAACGAACACCGTACTCTTATAAACTTCACTGTGTTTATGTTTTGGCACAATTGTGATGGTGTTATAAAAATGTCATGAACTAAAAGTTAGTACCACATAAAACGTAAAGTCGTTGATTTTTAAAGTAATACTATCGAGATTTACCAGCAGAAAGATTAATTTATTCAATTACAGGAATTATTCAGCAATCGATTAACTGATTATATATTGTTTAACGTCCCTCTCGAGAATTTTTCACTCCACTCGCCGATGGAGACTGCAAAATGTCCTCCTATATTTTTTTATTTGGCGCTTATCGCCACTGAGCAATGGGGAATCTTTTTGAGCTAGTACCATCAGACATACGGGACCTCGATTTAAACGATCTCATCTGAAGGACCGGTCTCCATCTCCCACAACTGAAGTCAATAACATAGGCGCTTGGTTTCAGGATTGTGTATTATGTGTTTTTCTATGTGTGTCTGAATACCATCATCAAAATAAAAACAAAAATTCGCTGAAATTAGCACGTTTTAAAAATGACATATTTACTGTGTATAAAAAGAGTAAAGGAGCGTCACTCTCCATCATTTATATCAGGGGGTACCTCGGTTCACACTTAATTTTCATCTATCTCTACATTTTTCCTACTAGTGTCGGGTGAGATCTAGCTTCAAAAATGATTGATTAACGCCTTTCAAACGTCTGCCTATTTGAACTTCCCGTATAAAACATGCAGTAAACCCAAAACGTCTTCGATTCTTGACCTGTTTATTCGAAAGCAACGGAAGTGCCGATTTTTAAGGGAACAGAAACTGTTTTTTGGACTCTGAGAAAAATATATCATATAAAGATATGCATTTTGAGACTTTTTCATTTATTTAGAATATAGGATGCGTGCCTTATTTGCGCAAGAAAAATATTCAAAGACAATGGACTATTTGTGAGCAGAAATCACTATTGTTTACTTATATTGGGAAATCAATGAAAATAATTAATCAAATTTCTTACTGTTGGTCTACTTTATTGCTAAAAATATTTTAATCTATTTTAAATTATGTAATTAACAATATCTTTAATCTTACATCTAAGGGCAGTTCACTCTAACTGCATAAAACTACCCAATAAAAAGAGCTCTTTCGTGTGCAGTGTTTAGAGCGTCCTTAACGATGAAAAATGTAGAGGCGTCCCGGAATTACATAGAAAATCTAGAGGTCAGAAACCGCGCCAAACTTGTTCTCTCTAGATTTTCCGTGTAATTCCGGGACGCCTCTTCATTTTTCATCGATAAAAGTCGGCGATGAAAAATTCAATCCTGAAACCAAACGCCTTTGATATATGATGCTCTAGCCATGTTTTTATTTTATTTTTCATTTCACAAATTTGTTGCATCAGATTTTCTGAAAGATCATACTTAATAAAGATCATTTCGAACAACTTTTTTGCAATGCATACATTGTCCGGTGATTTTGATTGACAGTTCACTTCGCGTGATAGATTGACTATGACGGACAATGAAATCAGAAAAGATTTAATAAAGAATGGGTACAACTGATATAGAACTGATATTTTGTCTATGTAAATGGATAGGATAATCGGGATTAAAAGGGAATCTCTCCCTCTCTCTCTCTCTCAGACATGCGAATATCAGTATCTTGCACAAAGAAAAATCTACTATTATAGAATATGAAATTCTGTATACATGTTTATGGTAATTATAACCAAATGTTTAGTCAGATTAAATTGTATATAATGATTCAAAAGCCAATACTTGCAAGAATGTCTCCGAATATAAATCCAGAGGGGGTGGGGGCTTCAAAAGAATTACATACTCAGTAATTTTTTGTTTTATGAATTGTAAGGAAAATACGTCAGGTTGCATGTACATACATATAATCATGTAACATTGCATAAAATTCATTCGTATACTTTATCCAACATACAAACAGACCTTTGCAGATGTTTTTGTATCATGTTTTAGCGTAGCATTATTTCACACAGAAACGCGCAACTTTTACATAATGTCAACCCTTTGAGTACTAGTATTTCACAAAAATCAAAAAATCGCTTTTTCTCATCTTGAATAACTTCTCGGGTATATAAAAGTATAGATCATGTAAAATAAATAACAACGACTTTTTATCAATGAACTATACATGTTAAAACCAAATTTAATCTATAGATTGATTTTCTTTCTTTTAATTATAAGTGGCAGATATCAATTTATTTCTAAAAGCTTTACACTTACTCTTCTTTCGCTCAGTTCCCTTTTGAGTACATGTACTATTTTAGAATCGAAAATTAAACTCGGATTCCGGGATAATTTCGCATTCAAATCAGAGAATGAATTAAGAATACTTTTTATATTATATTCATGTGTAAAATCATAACTGCCATTAGCCTACTGCCTTACACTACGCTGGCAACTTTAAACTATACATATACTGAATGCGGTAACTAACGTAATCTTACATGTAATTTGAACAGATTTTATTGTAATATAATTACAATGGGATTGAGCACAAGTTCTGAAAACTTATAACGCCCTCTCCCTATACATGTAAATTACACATCTCATTCTTTGCAGAATTCAGTGAGTCAACCCCCCACAATATGACATGTGTATCAAGTATGTGGATTTTGTCAAATTGTAAATATTTATGTAAAAATTCATTTCTGGCGTTCGCATACTTGGGACGTACGAAAAAAATAATGATATGTGTCCTAAACTTTGCACGTGCACAAGGGACTGTTGCCGTAATTAAAGTAAGAAGGTGGATCAGATCTTGATTTTTTAATCTTACATGTAGAAGTGGATATGGAAACTCAAAGTCTAATACAATTTTATGTGGAATGTGTCGGTCTAGACGTCTGCAACGTCATGAATACTACCTCCGCCTTTTTCTCGAAAGTTCTTTTCCCACTAACATGTCAGAGTTATCTATCTTTACTTATTGTCACCACGTAAATAGAGAAAATCAATTTATTGACGGTACCTTAAATCTCCAAAATGAAGAATCCGATTGAATGAATAATATATTTAGTATTTTTGAAGAATAATTTGTATATACATCGCTGTATTGTATACTGCGTACAATATTATTTTCTTCAAAGTGCTTAGTTGACACAAAAGGGATATTTTTTTTTACATATAAATTTGTAAATATAAATAACTTTCAAAATACAGACAACACTACACAGTCAAATTTAAACTTTACATATACTGAATTAAGTAGCAAGCAAAAGATGAAATATTGAATGTGTAAATATGTTGATCTGGAAGAGTGTATATGTCTCTGAAGTCATCAATTATATTTCCGCCTTTATCTCGAAAGTTCTATTCTCATTCACAAGTCAGAGTTATCTTTCTTTTCCCACCTCATACAGACTTCGTAAATAGAGAAAATTACTGTACCGAAAATATACAAAATGCGGAATCTGATTTAAAAACAAATTATATATTTAGTATTTGTAGAATAATCTCTGTTTTACGTAAGAATATCTTTTAAAAATATCAAAAAACAAAAAATTAAAAAATTGACCAAAAACAAATTCACTTCCGGTTCGGACAGGAAGTACTGAAAACACACGAAAACAACTTCAAAACAAATAGAATATCATGATCTAATATTCCTGTAAATTTCATATCTTTACCTCAAACCGTTTCTGAGAAAAATGCCGGACAAAAGTCCATTTTAAAATTCAAAAATCGGCCATAACTTCGGACCGGAAGTGAATTTTACAAAAAACGGAATTTTATATAAACTTCATATATCAACCTCCTCACATGAGAAAAATTGTGAAAATCTATCCAGCCATCTCTGAGTAATCGCGCTCACAAAATTTGGGAGGAATAATAATAATAATAATAATAATAAAAAGAAACAATACAATCACTATAAGTCTTCCGTTGTGAACGGAAGACTTAATAATAAAAAGAAACAATACAAACACTATAAGTCTTCCGTTGTGAACGGAAGACTTAATAAGAAACAGAGTAAAAACAATATGTTCCCCAACTTCGTTTGGGGAACATAATAAACAGGATGTAAAAAAAAAAGTAATATTAATTCGTATATATTCCACTGATACATGGACTGTTCATAGAACTCAGTTGCTAGTTTTGGAACATATCTTTCAATCTGTAGTACAAGATTTCCCGACATTGCAAGATAAAATATAAACTTACTTGAGAATTAGCTCAGGGAAATTTTTCTGCTAGTCATGTGTCGTAAGAAAAGTAGATATCTACTTAATAACACTAGATGATCCCCCAGTGTTTATGCACGACAAAAGCGGGAAGTTAAAAAAAATAAACAATTTTACTAAATTGCACGAATATGTGTCTTTAAGAGGGAAGGGGGGCTCCTAATTTTGCCAATATACACCTGGCTTTATAACAAAATAAAGCAAAGTTTCAATTGTGCAAATGTCTGATGACCTTTTGCTTTTGTTTTGTTTTTTACCTTATCAAATTTCCTGTGTCAGTATTTCTCGACTGTATAAAAATCATAAAAATTTCAAAATTGTCACAGAAATATAGAAATAAATGGCAATTTTAGACGTGCATTTGCATGGTCATCTGAAGCTTTCTTTGATTTTTTTACATATATCAAATAAACGCATAACTTTCAAAGTATAAATATTGAATTTCGTTTTACTTTTTCGTAAACCAGTAATATAGTGGGTGTCTTTTGCCTTATGTTTTTGAATCTAAAAAAAATCTTATAAGGACAGATAATGCAAACAACCCTTTCTTCAAAATCCATAATAAATCTGTGTTTATGTAATTTACCTGTGTAAAGTTACTCTTACGTCTCATAAAGTGGAGGAAGATGCATGGATTTAGAAAGAAAATGCCCCCCCCCCAAAAAAAAAATTGAACATTGTAGAAAAATCTACAATTTTTTGATACCACGTATTTTGAACCGAAACAGGTAAACAAAAAAATACATACGAATTTATGGATCCAATTTTTGTTTTTAATAACTGCCTTTAATCACCATATACAAGTACTCTTTGCCCTGTACTGACAGACTAATGTATCATAAACTGGTTATTGTGACACATTCCAATTTAGAGTACTCCCACATGCATGTTGAAAAACCTGTCACATTAAATATTAAAAACCGTAATAAACAAGAGATGTTTGTAAAACACCAATATGCTCCCATTACACAAATAATTGGGAAGTCGAGGGGCATAACTCTGTCAAAAATGGCTTGATCGTACCCAAAACAAAACTTGCCTATATATTTTTATGATGAATAGGTATACCAAATATCATTTCAATATGTGAGACCTCTGCGAAACTAAAATGGACAGAAACTGCAAATTTGTGGCATGTTTCTAAGCCCAAGGTGCATAACTCTGTCCAGAATGGTCCGATTGTACCCAAAATATAACTTGACCAAGATATTTTTATGATGAATCTGTATACCAAATTTCATTTCAATGCGTGCAACCTATGCAAAGAATATAAAGTGAAACTGCAAATAATTGGAAGTCCAAGGGGCATAACTCTGTCCAAAATGGCCTGATGTAACCAACACAGAACTTGACCTAGATATTCTTATGACAAATCTGAAAATCAAATTTCATTTCAATATGTGCAACCCCTGGGAAGAAAATGGACAGAAACTGCAAATTATTGGAATTTTTCTAAGTCCAAGGTGCATAACTGTTCAAAATGGCCTGATCGTACCCAAGACAGAACTTGACCTAGATATTCTTATGATAAATCTGTACATAAAAATTTCATTCTAATATGTGAAACCTCTGTGAAGAAAATGTACAGAAACTGATGGTGGACCCAAAGACAGACTGACCAACAGCAGTAAAGCAATAAGCCCTCCCTTCTTACCTGGAGGTTACCTGAACTAAAGGTCATTGGTCCTTGTTTTCCCTTTATCAGTTGATGGTTAAAACACAGGTAATCAAAGATTACAAAGCTCAACACAATAAAAGCTGTCTGTAAGTAAGGCACATCTCGCATCATATTTTTCTCTAGTTAATGTACATCACAAGATCAATATTCATGCCGGTTTGGTAATCAGGAAATTGTCTGTCAGATCCAGCATCCAAAGCAAGAGAGGTAATGGCAATT